CATTTGTGCGTGAGATCAAGTGAGCAAAATCTGCAACGAAGTGAGAATTTAAGTGGTAAAACCAGAGAAAATCGTATGTACGGTCAAGGTTGTTTACGTGTTTATTAAATTTGATCGTGCCCTATATGTAAAACTAAGAAACATATTGTGTAGTTCAAATCTCTGCCAATGCCAAATTGTCACATTTATTTGAACTCCAAGTTAGTCAACATTTTCCAAATCAGCATAATTAGGATTTAAGACTTCATGGTGTGAGTGTTGGGATTGGCGATGGACTTGACTCTACCTGGTAAACCCTGATCATTTGTGCGTGAGATCAAGTGAGCAAAATCTGCAACGAAATGAGAAGTTCAGTGTTTTAACCAAAAAAAATAAATTTTACGGTCAAGGTTGTTTACGTGTTAAGTAGATTTGATTGTGCCCTATCTGTGAAACTAATAAACATATTTTGAAGTTGAAATCCCTGCCAATGCCAAATTCTCACATTTATTTGAACTCCAAGTTAGTCAACAGTTTCCAACTCAGCATAATTAGGATTTAAGACTTCATGGTGTGAGTGTTGGGATTGGCGATGGACTTGACTCTACCTGGTAAACCCTGAGCAACGTATACCCATAAGCCAAATGTCTATAAATCGGCAGTTGGCCGCAAACAACCATTTCACTTTCGAACAGATCCACAGTACTTTTGTGCCAGACTGTCTCGTTTACACCTGTGAATCACTCTTCTGTTCCTCCCCACCCTCTACCCCCACCACCCCCCCCCACAACACTACACTCAACCTTCTGCGGCTTTGGCGTTCCTCATCCACGTGAAGCTCAACGCCAACCAAATTGGTGAAGATAACTATTACTGTATAAATAAATTCAGAGTGAGTGCTCAGAAGCATTTTCTCGTTAACTAAGTGCATTCGAAAAGAGGGAGGAATATTTGTAACGGCCTTTATCTAACAATGTTGCAACTTAAATTGACAGTTCCAAATTTCACCCAGAGCTAGTGATGAGTAGCCAGGAGTAGTGACTGCGAAATGTGCAACCTGTGAGGAGAGAAATATACAAAATCCCAGTAGGAATTCGAGTCATCTTCTGGTAATAAAATACAAAGTCAATGTTTTATTAAGATAAGGCAAACAAATTCTATCACCATCCAAACAGTGACGGCACGAACTCATATTTCCACGAAAATATTATTTGGGAAATTTCCTCCCTCCTCATATCCATTGCGACCTGTTCTCCTGTTGTTCTAAAGCCATTTACCAGCGCATCCGGGTCAGCTCCTTAACACAACGAGGTGTCTTAATGCAATAATTGGGCCATACCATACCAAAGTAGCAGTGCTGCTGCAGAAGGGTTATCATGAATGATTGATATCATAAGTGGAGTAAAGCCATGCTGGTTAAACCCGTTAACTGAGGCATTGTGAGATAGAAGAAGTGAAACCATGGCTTCCTGTTCTTCAATAATGGCTATTTCCAGAGGTGTTAAGCCAGCTTCATCCCAACGGCCCAATGGAGCACCATAATCAATCAAGAGTTTTGCTGCCTGGACGTCGCCTTTTTCGATCGCCATGCTGAGTGCAAAATACATGTGCGTATTCTTCTTGTCTTTATCTGCATCTTCCACATTCAGCAAGACTTGAAGGATATCAAAGTAGCCCTAAAACCATAACCTTAAGTGATGGACATACGTAGTAGGCACTTAAAGAGAGAGGGGGGTGCTCAAATCCTTCCTCTTCCTTATAAACCACTGCTCCATGTGCAACTAAATAGCGAACCATGTAGATGTTATTGTTCTCCACAGCCACCACAAGAGGTGATAAGCCAGTGTAGTCATATATTTCTAAATTGCAATTATGTAAAAGTAGAATAGAGACGGAAGCCTCATCATTATTGTCCACTGCAACATGCAACGCAGTCCGTCCAAATTCATCAACCCCATTCACATCAGCTCCATTCATCAATAGTTCATTTGCGATGTCAAGGTACTTTAGCCTCACAGCTAAAATGATTCGTGTCATTGTCGGATTATTTGGGAAGACATTTGGATTGACCTAGAAGAATATCAATGTAGTTTGACTTACATTGTTTGCCAGTTGATTTCTTACAGAATCAATGTCACATCGAATAATAGCTTCATAAAGTGTTTGCTCTGGTTTGGCCATGGCGTGAGAAGCAAAGAGAATATGATCAAATTCATATCGATATTTTGAAAAAATGCTTTAATCATTAATCAGCAGAGTGACGCCAAAGATTGGTCAAGTCAATTAATTTGATTATAAGTAACCAATAGATGTTTGAGTGCTTGATGTAATATTGGCCAATTCCTTGTCCTAATGAGGCGTGAAATCGAACGAATGAATGTCTAACAAGCTTAGATAATTTGACTGAATGCATCTCGAGCAGAATTTAGTGAAACTTCACAAATAGAGCGTGCATGGGAAAATTCGAATTTCATTTGACTATGGTGTGGTACTTGAACGAGTTCAGTGTTCAGGGAATTTTGTATTGTTGT